CTCTCAGGAGTCTCCGTTATTTTGCAGGTACAGGCGTCCGGTTCCAGTCTCGGAATTGTAACTCTCCCGCAGGACATCAGAAAACCCCGAAACAAGAGTTGTAAACTAATCGACAAAGGAGGGCCTTGTGCACCCTCGGGCAACATTTGGTAGTTGCTCCTAAAGTACTTCACCAAGTTTATGTTAATTTCATTTGTATCCCTTTCATTTTTTTTAAAGTACAATAAGGGTTATTCTGGGCGAGGTAAAATGAGCTGAATAGAGGTTGAAGGTTGGGTTAGTTGGAACATGGAGTTTGTTTTCTTTGCAGCCATTGTTCGGATTTGGGGGGGATATTTCTTTGAGGGAGTTGAAATCTAGGAGGGGGACTCTACAATCTTATTGTTTGAGGGAGATAGTCAAAGGAAAAGGAGGGAAAATGTAATTTTGAACAATTTTTGGAGTGTTTTACCGAGTTACCACGATCAATAACTGGATCCATTGCAGTTTAGGGTACCTACCCCCCATAGGTGTGAAAAAGTAGGCTAAAGACTTGTCTTGTCTATAGAAGCAAAAAATCATCCCAATGGGATTAATTTGTACTATTTCACCTGCACAGTTGAGCAAAAAAACTCCCATTGGATTCTTACTTTACCCTTGAATTAAATGTGGTTTGAACCATAATCGTATGTTGTATCCAGTTTTTAGTAGTACTGGTGTATTAGTGGTACATTGTAGTCTTTGTTAAGTACCACTGGGTGTAGATAGTTTATATAATCTAGTAATCCATAATTATAAGATTTATAAGGACACGAAATTGGTCTTTTAATTGAACCGTAGCATAAATTACACTGGTTACAAAAATTGCTACAATTTCTAATAGTAATTCGCGCCCCCCCCCCCCCCCACAACAACCGGATACACTAACAACAAGGCGGACCATGAACTAATTAACATTTGAAATACAACAAGATGGCTAAAATTAAAATTGTGAGGCCAAATTTCACGATGTTCACGTTTTGATGCTCTAACGCCTCAACCCTATGAACTACTCCACCGATGTTGTACGGTGGTCCATTCTTCACAAGGTCTGAGTCAACATCCCATTCCCAAAACCCGCATTGGCGGCATTTATAATACGGCCTCTTCGAATTCAGCTTGAACATGGAGATAGTATTAATTAAGTATAGGTAGATAGTATTTATGTGCATACAAAAACACTTTAAACATATTGGTACCCTATATTTAGCAAATGATCTAACAACTATGTATTAAATAAGGAAACATACACAGTTTTATTAACTAGGGAATTGCAATGGTACCCTAACCCAACACCATGGAACCCTTTGTATTACCAAAATGTACCACCTCTAGGTAATAGCGGGATTTTCACTGCATAATATTACACCACTATTATCGCAGATACTACAAATTGACAAATACCACTCTATCTAGCTCCACCGTTTTACCCTTCATATGATCAAATATTCCATAACCTATTCAGTGGTACCCTTGTTATTATCATACCATCAACTCATCTATGGTTACTTATCGAACCTAAATCTACCGCAAGTGGACGGGTCAATTACTGTAAATATAGGGTGAGCAAGGTATCGTATCCTCAAGGAGGTCTAATCAAATACCAAATTAAGAAACTATAATATTATTTAGACGATAAAAATATGGTTAGATTAAAATTAAAATACTACTACTAAAAACTAAAAAACTAAATATATAGACGGAATAGTAATCAAATATGAGAAGGAGTTCTAGGTTTTGGGTTCACCTTTTACTTTTCTACCAATGAATATAAACTAAATGTAGGGTTGAAATAACATATTGCAATGATCGAAATTCCTATTGTATATATTCTCCTCTCCCAAGGTAGAATACGTATGTCTATATCAATCTTATGTCTACTTCCGTGATCATAACAATTAACATAAACTCATTAAGAACATGATTTCATATAAAAGACCACCTCAAGTGAATAACTATTCCTAAAATTATTCTACTTGACGTTGATAATCCCACGAACTAATATTAAACTTTCACTCCCGCTAATAATTTAATACCTTAAACGTACAATCAATTGGCCAGATAAACTATACGAATTAAAATCAAGATTATCAATTTGCAATAATGTAAATCAAACCCAAACAAAATACTTCAATCCATTGATAAATTAATAAAAGACTACACCTTTAACCTAGAACAAAGAAATCTAGCAAGCCATGAAAATCAATTCAACCCAATTGTATAACACTGACAAATTAATACTTGACATAATAATTAATCAAAGTTTAACAATTAAAAAGAATAAGGAAGAATTAAACTCCCAATCAAGATGAACTCATCTTCCTCCTACACTGTACTCTGTTTCGCTGCTTCCCTCCGTGCTTTTTTCTTCTCCTATGTTTAGGGGTTTTAAATATACCCTTTAATCTCTCTGATTTTCTGGGATTTGGAAGGAAAAATCCTTAATTAGGATAAGGATCCCCTTGCTTTTAGATAGGATAAGTGGTTGTTTTATGCACAAATGATGTTTATGGAATGAAGTAGGATAAAAGTTAAAGTTACCACCTAAGTAGTAGTTATTTATTGAATTCATAACCCAAAACACAAAAACACTAATAGGGGAACAACCTAAATCAACTAATACATAGTATTACATAAGGATACATAGATAGTAACACGTTTGCATGTCTAAAACACTTTAAGCAAATTAGTAGCTTCTATTTTGTACAATCACCAGTAACACAAAGTTCGTATTACATAACGATATGTAAACAGTAATATGAATTTGCAACAAAAACAATTTGAAGACATCAAATATCTTGTATTAGGTACATACACATAAGTGACTAACACTTGGTATTAAATAAGGACAGTAGGGTATTTCAATGGTACCCTAACCCAACACAATGGAACCTTTTCTATTAGCAATATAAACCACTACATATACCATTATGGTACAATGGTACAATTTTTTCGAGTCTGTTAATGATACAATGGTACAATTACAGTACCATTATTCATGTAGTGGTACTTTTGACCAACTAATTTGTACCATTACTAACGCAAAGGTGTTTTCCTACCAATTATTTGTGCCACAAATACTGCAAATAGTACAATTACACAAAGAGGTAGACATAGGGGAAGGTCTAGGGAAATTACATAATTATGTGTTTCGATTAGTTTTTGTTTATATATATCACATTGAAGTCAAATGTGAAATTGATGTTACAAAGTTAATGGTCCTATGAAATATTGGTATTACGTGTTCATTAATCTATAAACCAAAGACTTATTCCTAACAAGGGTTATGAATCTCACATATTTATACACAGACTTATATCATCTTTCTAATACAAAGCGCAGGGACTAAGTTATAATGAAATACACAACACACCGTCAATAAGTTAATAGTAACATATGGTTAAAAATCCAATTTGGTTATATTTTCAAAAAGTTAAACACAAGGTTACACATCATCCCATTTCTCATTGGTAATCTTTTCAAGTAGTGGTACCCTAAGCCTAACCAGTGGTACCCTTCCTGTTAGGTTTATGATACACTTTTGTACCACTGCTGTTTTGATACACTTTTGTACCACTACTGGATGCACAACATCCAATACAACTTGGAAAATTCCTTATCCATGTAACGCCATCATTTGTTTTTTTGTTTTTTTTGGGAATGCACAATTAACAAAAGACATAATATTAAACGCTTATTAGTTTTAGTAATATTATGAGAAAATATTGGTTATAATAAGATCATTAAAATATGAATTTATTGAATAATTTTGGGTTTGGAAAACAATAACTTTGAATTGAAATAAAGTCATAATTTGTACCACTTCATTTCCTAATGGGCTATATTCGGGTTCTGAATTGTACTACTGAAAATCACAACCCAGTGGTACATTTTCTCCCAAACTTTGTTATAGGTGGTACAAAATAAACATCAGATTTGACAAATGTTTTCTGCAATCACAACATAGGAGTCCTGAAACTTAAATTAGTTGTCACATCAAAAGATGGTCCTGTACCTAGAAAAGTAAAATATGCTATGGAACCATCAAGATCCCTCAATTGAATTCCCCCAGCAGAACGGATATATTCATTGGTCGACAGTGACACAAAGGTGTTTTTCGCAGCAGCTGCCTTCTTTGCATCGTTTTTTGCTCTTGTAGCTTTCTCTTTCCCTTTTATTTTTCGCAGACGGGTTGTGGTTTGTTAACGGTTTGGTGTGGACGATTTTTATCCCGGATCAAACGGTTTTGGGTTAGAAACGGTTCGATTCTTTTTCGGTTCGGTTTTTTTCATTTCGGTTCGTTAACGCGTTCGGTTCTTATACGATTTAACATTATTCGGATCAATTCAGTTTCGGGTTTACTAATATATGGTTCGAGTTAGATTTCGATTTCAAAACTTCAATTTTTAATCGGTTCGGTTCTCATTTGGGTTGGTTGGTTTCAAGCTAGAATCACTACTACAAAACTAACCTCAAGTAACACCCAAAAAGTGTTACATAAAGTGGTAAAAATGTTATTATAGACGATAGGTAACACTTTAGTGGGTGATACATCTGCCCGTGTTACCTAAGGTCTTATGTAACACTTTGGATAACGTATGGTAACACTTTTAAAAGTGTTACTATATAACCTCTTATGTATCACTTTTTTATATCTTTAGTATCATTTTTAAAGTGTTACTTTTTATTTCTTATGTAACACTTACTTATCTTTAGTAACATTTTTCAATCATATAGTATCACTTTATCCGACATTATGTATCACTTTTTCGAACTAATATAACACTTTGTTGATTATTAGGTAACATTTTTCAATCATGTTTTGATATATAGTAGCACTTTATTCGACATTATGTATCACTTTTTTAAAAGTAATGTAACACTTTATAGATTAATAGGTAACATTAATTATAACATTTACTATTTTTTTTAAATATAAAAAAAAATTATTTATACAACAACTATATGAATAGAAATCAACACATATGATAGAAAACAATTTAGATTGAAATACTTTCATAATTCTTACAAAAAAAAATCCATAAACACCAATTTTAATGTTTGGCCAAACAATATAATAATCCAAACACAAAGAAAATTAAGTTCGATCTCTAGCTTGGAAAAAGTAAGGAAAAACAAAAAACTTCCAAATTTCAAAAAAGTCAGTGATAACAGTAAATAGCATTAGTAACAGCGTATAGCAGCAGCTACACAGCTAGCTAGTAGAATGGCAGCAGCTACGCAGCTAGCAAAATGGCAGAAGCAGTAACAGAAGCTGCTAGCCGCAGTCTTTAGCAGCAACCAGCAAAAGCAGACAGGAGTGGCAGCTTCCAGCAATAGCAGACAGCAGTTGGCAGCAACCAGCAGTAGCAGAGAGCAGTGGCAGCAAATCGAAGTAGCAAGAGTCAGCAACAGTAGCAGCGAAAAAACAGCAGTAACAGCAAAAAACAGCAGCAACACAGCGGTAGCAACAACAAAACAGCGGTAAAAGTAAGTTCTTATAGCATCATCAATTGCCATCCTAATTCTTCATCTTGATCCAATTGATCCTATGTGTGAAAGCATCATATATCAAACAACTAGAACAAAAATGGAATAACGCAATAATAAGAGTTAGTGCTTTTTAAAAGATTATATATAAACCATTACCTCATTTCGATGTTGTTCATTAGAGTGTACAATGGGAATATGATCTGTAAGTTCTGGATTGGATGACACATTTTCAAGTGATCGAGTCAAAGTATCCAACACTTTAGGATCAATTTGCTCGAGCGTCTTCATTAATTCTGCTACAATTTCTTTCACAATTTGGTCTTTATAGGGCTTTAAGAACCCATATGATTCTCGTAATTTTCCTGTAAGTCATGTCCAAATCTTTGTGGTTGTGAAAAACTTGTGCTTGTGAACTTCCTAAATGCACTTATGAACTAGCCATGTTAATAGTCTGTGAACTAGCCATGTAAATAGGTTGTAGTTGTCATCGTAGTAATAAATCACTTTCCTCTCAATGCCACAACCTGAAATTAACTAGCCATGTGATCTAAGTGTTGTCTCTCGGTGTTTTGAAGACGCATCTTAGTCAAAGAGACACCTGCCGTGTCCTTAATGTTTGTGGTTATCTTCCCTCTCAATGCCACAACCTGAAATTAAGTATTCATGAACATTATTAAACAAAATATTACATGATTTTCTAACAACTATGATTCACAAAATTAAGTTGACACAAAAAAAAAAAAAAAAAACCACCTTCTTTGAACGAGACCTCATGTTTACACCGGTTTTCCTTCTCTCATTTTCATCCTCTTCACTTGAGTGGTTCAGTTCTCCCTCTTCATCAGGTGTATACTCGTCAGTATCTTTAGTCACCTTCTTCCTTTTTTTCGTTTGTTTCGATCCCTTCATCGACTGTTTCATTTCATAAGCCATGGATGTAACCCCTAAATCCTCCATCCTGATTTTATTTTGTTCTATAATTTTTTGTCTAAGTTTCTCATATTCTGCCATCTAGATATTGTTTCCTACAAAGAACATACAAGACAGTCAGTTGATGGACATTATTGGTGACAAACAGATTTTCAGAGTATCAGACCCCTAACAGATTATCAGCTTGATGTTCAGAGTTTACATTGCTAATTTCACCTTCCTGATTTACCTCAAAAGAGAGTGGCCAGAAAAACTATGTCCTGATTTTCAGAGTAGAATTACCATTCATTTTGTCTGAGATCATGGATGCAATAAGTAATTTTCCATTCATTTTGTCTGATTCCTTCTATACAAAAGTGGATCCAATTGGTGCTCAGCTAAAGGTCCTTGAAATTGCAAACAGCTTGGGGCTTAGTATAACAGTTGTTGCACGTGAAGTTGCCTTCAAAGATATAGGTAATAAATCATCTATTCTGGATATAAAGAGAAATGATTTACCCTAGATGATACTACGTAGTATTTTTACAGGACCTAGGACTTCAAACAATCAGATCAAGCAAAGTAAAGATTCAGTATTCACTAAGTTTGGGTTTGGAGCACAGGACATTCAGCCTTGACTTCATATTTACTTGACTGACCCAAGCCAGACTGAGTCAAAAGGTAATACATATAGCACACTTGCATCAGGCAGTACATATAACGATTAATAAAAGCACCTGAAAGAGCACAAAAAGAGTATGCATATCACCTGAGCACTTGAGCACAGGATCAGCTTATACTCAACTCTGATCAGCTCATAGTCTGAGGTAGATATTAATCTTGCTAATACTCAAACTCAGACTGTTAGCAAGATTAATTTACCTCACACGCAGCTTTATAAATATTGCAAAAAGTCTGAGGCAAATTAATCTTGCTAGAGCTAAAGTCTAATCAGCTATAATCATGCAATGCAAAGACAAAAGTTCATTAAAACTATGTCAATAGTAGAAACTGCCTCAGTGAAGCCGACACAACTCACCTACTGCCCGAGCACAAAGATACCACACAGCTCAAAACTGCCAAATGTAAACACTATCACTATTATATCATACCTCAAATAAATTTAACAATTAAATAAAGGTTAAGAGTAAATTCTATAGCACGACATTAAATTTAACCACTGACTTATGTTAACTAATAAATATAAAGCTCGTTATTTCACTATTCATGACCTTGTTAGATATTCACATTAATGTATGAAATAATTTGTGGACTATTTAGCAGATTTTACTCCAGGCTGCAATTAAGAAACTAATAAAACAGTCTGCAAATTTAACACCACATGATTTTTTTTTTATGGTAAAATGAAGACTTCAAGGAGAGAAAGAGGTGAGAACTGAAATATACTCATAAACATTATTGATTAACATGGACAACATGAAATAACCGTGGTAGTGCTAGATGTTTGGGATTAAATTCTGCCCGATTTGAAGGTTGATGAAAGAGTACAAGGGACTAGGGAAGACATAATACATGATGTGTTTGCTGTTCTTTGAACATAAAGCATGACATAACAGAAAGAGTAGGATAGCATGACATAAGCTTTCCTATACAAGCAAGATATTTACTAAGCTTGGGAGGTACTGTTGGGACTTTGGAAACAGCAAGAGTGGGCTTCTCACCCAATATCAAATTTCAGGCCAGATTAACTAATTTATTGTATGAAGGAGTGTGATCTTTAACTGTAAGTAATAGGGACCTAGCAACCTGCTGTTAAGAAAATTTCTTGTGTCAAAATTGAGAAACAATCATTCATTTATTATCTAGAAAATTGAATGAGGCATTGACCAATTAAGAGTTGGAGATGTGTTCTACAAGAACAAAAGAGAACACAATCAATGATAATGTAGCAATAATGTAGCCAATAAAGCAACAGATGGATAACTACTATTGATAATATCTTGATTTCCAAAGGGAGTAATTTGATACGTAGTATTGGAATAATGTCATGTTAATTTCCTCAACCTTTTAGAGTAACATTCAAAATAAGGAAACTGCTAATTTCCTCCACTCAATAAATCACTTAAATTATTATGGTTCTAAGTAGGATCAATTAAATTAACTAGAATAATCAACTATCATGCTAAATAAATTTGTTTGCCGAATTTTTATTGCCAATCTTCAAGTTGAGAATACTAGAGAGAGTCCAAGACAACTTAACAAACTCAATCAACTTTTCATTACAAAACCACTAAGATCTGCTATACCGAGTTTATCATTGACAAGCTTCTTAAGGAAAAGTACTCAATAGTCATTACAAGACCAAAAGTCAATCAATGAGCTAGGTTGACAACAAACAAAGCTATATCTCAAACTAAACAAAGTCCACAATAATTGTCTTGTTTTTCTCTCATACAAGTCATATTAACAAGATACCAGGTTTAATATAAAGTAGCATCTAGAATGCCAGAGACTGAATTCATCCAGTTCATATATTTAGATTTAGGAATTGAATCAACTAATTGTGTTAAATTCACAACTTCACGTCATTCTTTAAGAATTGATGATTTTTAGGAAAATCAGTAAAACCTAAGATCAATAATATAAGTATATAACATCGTTTAAATAAGAAAATCCATTAATATACAAAAAAAAAAAAAAAAAAAAAATTGCATGAAATCGTGAATAACAACAGGTGCAGATTTCAATTGAAATAATATAGAATCCAATAAAAAACAAACCCTATTAACTAGATTGTGATAATTCACATGAAAATTAATGATTACATAACCAAAAACATCAAAAATCCACCAAAAAAATAACAAGATACCTGATTGGAAGCGCGAATTGATGGAACGCCAGATGACGATCGAGTCGACGATTTTGTGATGAAATTCGCACGAATTGAACTTGAATAATTGAGAGATTGGGTTTTTTGTGATAACTTAAGATTGTCGTTGCTGAATGAGGAAAATAAACTTGATTTGAGTGATTGTTTTTTTTTTTTTCCTTAATTATTCTGGCGGTTTAAGCTAATTGAGGCCCAATTTTTTTTTTTTTTAAATTGCTTTGGCAGTAATCCTAAACTTTTTTAATAAATTGGTAATTAAATTTGAGGATTAATACTGACTTTTACTTTTTTATAAATGTTTAATTCACCTTAAAATAATGTAACACTCTTAGGTGGCGTTTGGTTCGGATAATGGAAACGGAGTGGAAAGGAAACAAATAAGAGGGGGGAAAGGAATCATTTAGCTATTACCTTTACATTTGTTTGGTTCAACTATGGAAAGGAATCAATTAAATTTTACTCCCTTTGTTCTTGTTTGGTCTACCTAATGGAAAGGAATCATTTGAAAATGCAACTACTTATAATAGGAAGTTTTTGCTATTTAATATATGAGCAATTTTACTTGATCAAGTTTTTTTTTTTTTTTTTTTCAAATATTATTAACAAAGAATGAAAGAATTACAACAAGTAACAAACATAAGCCCAGCAACACAAAAAACAGACACAAGTAATAACAAAATCAAAACTAGAACTCAGCCAAAAACACCAGCAGCCTGAGAACACATAAACACCAGACCAAAAAAAACAGCAGGCCAGAAACAGCCACCAACTGTACAGAAACCGAACGATCAGCAGCTACACACCAGCAATTGCAGCAGGAAACAACATTCCAGCATCTGCCTGTATAGACCCACAGCAGACCAGCTGCAAAGGCAGGACAACAGAACAGTAACCCAAAAACACACCAACAATGGAGCAGCAGCAGCAGACTAACTGCTCCTGCTCAAAACCTGCATCAGATCACAGCAACACACAAAGCTAAAGCAAAATAAACCACCCACAGCAGGACCAACTTCAGAAACCAGACAACAGAACTTGATCAAGTTACATACCATTATTAAAATACCATAAAAATAAGTTAGCTATAATATTAAACTGATTATATAATAGCATAACAAGTACTTTTTGTAGGAAACCAAACAAATGTATACTACAAAATTCTGAAATTCAAGAACAAAATAAGCCTTAATTAAAGTTTCAGAGGCCATACATTGTAGATGATTAGCAATACTCCCACCTACTTTTTCTTAAGGAGATCTAAAACATATTGTTTCTTCAAGTTAGTTGGAGCTTGAAAAAAAGATTCGAAGCTTATGTTTTTCAGCCATGAGAATTGTTGCCACCTCTAAAGATTCCGAAGGAGAAACACCATCCAATTTCATAACTTCTTCTAACACCTTATTCACTTCATCATCCATTTTTTGCTCTTTTTCTTCGGCTTTGGACCATGAATTTGCTATAGTTCCAAGATTTGCATTTATGTCCTCGAAAATTTTCCCAAAAGTATTAGATGTATTATGAAGAGAAGCTACTAATTCATTAGCATCTTTGCTTTGATGTGTCTTTCCTTTTCCCTTCATTTCTTTCATCTTTGCTTTTTTGGAAGGAGTATTATCATCCTCTTTCTTCATTGGCCGCTTATGGGATTGAGTTGTTGGTTGAGTGGAATGGGTAGAATGAGTGGGAGAATCTATATAACCGTCTTCGTCACTCTGTATTGTCATAGACTGATTTGCAATCTCAACATTCAAGTTATCAATAGCTCCAACAAATGATTCACTAACTTCTCCGGTTGCTTTATCTTTTGCATAGATTTCAGCAAGTGTCTCATAATGAGGAAAGGGTACTCCATACAACCCCTTTGCTTTCTTGTGAGCCTGCAATGTAATAAACAACATACTCAGCATACTCAGATCAGCATACTCAGCCAGAGCAATACATGCTTAGATAAGACTCTATTCCAGATAAACAGCATTCATAAAAACAATAAAATAAAGTAAATCATTCAAACATGAACCTAACTCGTTTATCCGAATTTGAAATTCTACTCTCTGCTCCTCCCCTACCTTTTTTAGATTATTCCCTTACAGAAATATAAGCTCAAAGCCTCAAAATCCATGTTACATAAAAATAAAATAAAAATCAGCTAATATATCTGCTTCTCATCATACTCACCTTTAGAGCAGATTTATACTAGTACTAAGCTAGCAATCTTACTTAAATCAGCTATGTCAACTTCATATTCACTAATTCATTTCCTGCTAATTATTCTCAGCCTAACATCAGCCACCTCTCTAAATACAAACTTAATAACAATAGCATTATTGAAATGAATTTAATAACTACTCAAATCGTAAAAAATGAAGAACATTAAAAAGCTTACTTACCTTAGCCCATTCATCAAATACAGTTTTCTCTACTTGCAACATTTTTTTGTCCGAATCCCATCCAAATCCAGAAGTAGATAACATCTCTGCCATTGCACTATATTTCTCTGTCCAATGCTTAATCCTTGACTCAATGTGTGGATCAGCTTTCAAGCCACAATTAGGTAGCACATATTTTATCATTTCTTCCAACTTATTCATGTAACCACTCTTGAAGCCACTTTCACTTTTCCATTTAGGATCGATAGATAACTCATGTAAATATTTTATGAGCACCGTATCTTCCTCAAAGGTCCAAAAACGCTTATTCTTACCTCTTCCTCGATTGCTTCCCTCTTCTCCCATCATATACAACTTCAAGGAGAAAATTTACATATATCAAGACAATGAGTGCAAGAGTATAGGTATCATATGGTGTACTAGAAAAAAGTAAGTAAATTAAACATATCACTAAAAAAGTAAGTAAATTTAACATATCACCAAAAAAGTATGTAAATCAAGTTACAGGAGTATAACAGTTTGGTCTTAGCACTAAAGAGTAAATCAAGTTACATCTTGTAATTTGAACCCACTACACCGAGGATCTTGACTGCTAAACTCTTCTACCTCTTGCCCTCCACCCATTAAACATATCTTGTGCTAGTGTGTTTCTAAAATTGGTCCACTGATCTGAAGTTGCAACACTTGTAATATATTCAGGTTCATCATCAGAATCATCATCGGAATCTTCACTCAACTCTTCTTCCTCTATATCATCAGTAGGCATGAATCTTCTAATTAAGTTATGTAGTAAACAACAAGCCATCACGATACGACCTTGGGTGCGTATAGGAAAAAACGAGGGACTCCTAAGTATGCTCCATCTCCCTTTAAGTAAACCAAAACACCTCTCTACCACATTTCTTGCCCTAGCATGTTTCATATTAAAATATTCCTCGGCACTTTCAGGTTGTTTATCTGTCCATTCTTTAAGGTGATATCGTTGCCCCCTATATGGAGCGAGAAATCCATCGCAATTAGTGTAGCCCGCATCAACCAAATAATAATTACCTTCACAAAAATCAAAATAAGATAATCACTAGATACCTTACTAACAACTATAATTATACTCACACAAAAAAAGACCTATTCCATTTACCTCGAGGTACCCTAAGACCATTTGGCCTAGAGAGAGCATTACGAAGGACACGTACATCATGGGCTGATCCTTCCCACCCCGGAAGCACATAAATAAATTCCATATTAGGTGCACAAGCACCTAAAACATTCATAGCAATTGTGCCTTTCCTTGTTCGATATTTTCCCCTTTCTTGTGAAGTCACTCTTACGTTAATATAGGTACCATCTAGCGCTCCTAGACAACTCTACATTATAAAAGACAAAGATATGACTCATTTACATACATTACATGAAAATCTAATAGAAAAAAGAACATGAATGGAATTATACCTTGAAAGGTTGCCACCTTTCATCTTCACATTCATCAAATATCGCTATAGGCTTGTGCAATAAGTGTTCATGCAACTTCAAAATAGCCCTTAGACATAGGTTAAATTGTTGACTCACTGTTTCCCCACTTCTTAAAAAGAGATTTCCAATTGACCCATTCTTTTGATGATGAGCCAATGTGTACAAAAACATTGCAACTATCTCTTGAAGAGTCATATTTCTTGTTCCACTTAAACCTCCTATATCTCTGAGCATCTCACAAATAATATTAAAAGTACGTCTATTGACACGAAGCTCACTTTTACAGCTTACATCACTCTGTCTTATTAAGTGACTCAAAAATAACGAGCGTAACAATTTCCTATTCCTTTTCCTTTCATTTATTTGAGCCCCTCTAATTGTAACAACGCTCATCAAATACCAAATCCAAAACAGCATAAAAACTACAATAATCATTGTAATAACCAATTGAACTTGTTTTGCTCTTCTTCTTTTCCCAATACGAGCCATTTCAAGAACCTTAAAAATACATTCAATAGAAAAAGATAAGATTCTAGTGCTACAACAAAATCATGCAGCTTATATCTAAACATTCAACAGAAATAGATAAGATGCTCTATTATTGCCAATGAAAATATGAAAGAGCATAATTGTCAATAATACTAGCACGAAACAATGATCGAAAACTGAAGAATCGAGTTGGTCCAGCTAAAAGTTGAGAAATTAGTAAGTAGATGTTTACTGTTAGGTACCATTATACACCATATTGTAAGAAATAAAGTGTGTTAATTTCTTTGGATAGGCTAGGCCATTATTATTATATAGATAGGTAAATTTACTTTAAGAGGTCCACTTCTTGAGAGGTAAATCTAACATGAGTATATACATGCATGAAGGATCGAAAAGTAGTGGTGCGGACTATTGTCAATTGTAAATGGTTTTTTTTTTAATCAATTAGTCAAGAGTATCAAGTCTGGAAAATATCAGAAAGAGCATAATTGTCAATAATACTTAATTAGTTAGTCCTAATAAGAAGAACCAAATCCATCAAGCTGATTTGCTAAATCTGTTATTGCTATCATTACATAGCAAAGACAACACATACACCCAACAAACAGTAGATTTAACAATAATTTCAGATAAGATCAATAAATGTTATTAACTGAATGAAAAAATTGGATTGTCCAAAGTAGCATTACCCTAGAGACTAGAAATTAACCAGCAATAACCAAACCAATTGATAAGTAACCCATCAACTTTTAGCATAAGATTAACCAAAAATCCCCCAAAAAAAACTCAGAAAAAACTAATCAAAAACAGTATTTAGTGAAGCACATTTTACAGGTCCATATAATTAAGTTAAATTAGCACAAACAAGCAAGAATCATTGACCCATTAAAGCAAAAATGATATTATTAAAAGGGTTAAAATTAAAATTGATGAACTAATTACGACTAATACAAAAATGATGTAATTGATAAAAGGGGAAAAGGGTTAGAGCATACAGAAAAAAAGAAAGGGAAGATACAGAAACAGCAACATAGTCAGTTGGGCAACCTCTAGATTCTGCACATCCTTTCATTTTCATAAATCTTATTATTAACAATTGAAATTACTCATATCTCTAATGTTGTTGCTGTAAATCTGATATTCTAGTGCTACGACTCTGGTATTCTGGCATTGCAGAATTTTGGCTTCTACAATGATTATGAGATTTATGACATGTATTTCAAATCATGGTATCAAAACTTCAACGACTCAAATCGTGTGGTTTCACTTCTGTAACACCGCAATATCATGAAGCAAAAAGCAAAAAATTCAATTGAAAAATTTAAAACTCAAATAAATCAGAAAAATTAGGGAAAAAAGCTCTAGAAATTAACACCATAAATCGAAAATAGCAATCAATAAATAGATCAAACATTCAAACAAAAATATAGATAAAAACTCAAATAATATTGCAATCAATCATGTATTTCGAGATAGAAAAATCAAAATATACAATCAATCAAATAGAAAGATTTATAAATTCAGCAACAATTCAAAATCTAGGGTTTTGAGATAACATACCTAACTTGAGCGAAATCTAGAGCTTCGATAATTTGGGAACGAAATCTGCATACATTGAGCGAAATCTAGGGTTTCGACATTTCTTTGAGAGAAGAGGCTGTTGTGTGTTTTTGGGGTTAGAGGAGAGAAACGTTAATTGTTTCTCCAGTTTTTCTACCGGAAACAAAGTAGTGGAATGGGTTTCCACTAAGAAACGTGATTTGTTACTATACTCCTCAACCAAACGGATTCTAACGGAAACGGTATCTGATTCCGTTTCCAAGCCTACAAAAATCCCGTACCAAACACCCCCTTAGTGTTACCATAAAATGTTACTTATTTTAAAAGTGTTACTTTGAAGTGTTACTTATGTTAAAAGTGTTACATTGAGTGTTACATTCTAATAAAGTGTTACCAAAGTGTTACCTATATATCTAATATTTTGCATTTCAAGAAGTGTTACCAATTACATGTTACATAATGCCAATTATGTACTAGTGAATTTTTCGAGTTTCTTTTTCAATGGATGAATTAATTAATCATATTCTTTAATTTATTATAATTTTTGTATTGACTTTAATTTGTTTTTGAAAGATCAAAGGATGCAATCATCTATTCTAAAAATTTTGAGAATTACAATAATAGGAGTACATCATAAGAATTTTGATTAGGCAAGCTTTGGTCTAATATAATTCCGAGCACAATAATATATGTAGCACTTTGATGATGTTTAATGAGAAGACAAAGATTATTTTTTCTTAATCCATAATTACATACAAAAGTTAGTAAAAACAATAATGTACTTAGTATCTGTAGTAAACATGTGTGCATAATTAGATTTCATATAAAATTCATTTTAACGTGATTTAATCTTCCTTTATAGCAAGCGGTTTGTAAACGGTTTGATTCATAAACGGTCGGGTCATAAATGGTTCGGTTTGTACATGGTTCGGTGCAAACGGATTGCGGTTTATTAACGGTTCGGTGTAAACGGTTTTTATCGCGGTTCAAACAATTTCGGATTAGAACGGTTTCGGGTTAGAAACGGTTCGGTTCTTTTTCGGTTCGGTTTTTATTGAGTTCGGTTTAGAACTGTTTCAGTTCCTTAATGGGTTCGATTCTTATACGGTTTAACATTATTTGGATTGGTTTAGTTTCTGGTTTACTAAAATACGGTTCGGATCGATTTTCGGTTTTAAAAAATCGGTTTTTAATCGGTTCGGTTCTCTTTTAGGTCAGTTGGTTACGGGCAATTAAACGGTTTCGGTTTGAAATTAGACAGCGCTATATGACATACTTCCTGTTTTATTTTGAAGTGTCTCATTTTGATTTTTACAAAGTATTTTTTGAAATAGGCTTGATTGGGCTTAACCCATTTGGTATGTCCAATTCCAATCGTAAGGTCACAAAATTTTTTTTTATTTTTTTTTACTTGTAATAAGATATGATAAAGAGAAAACGTTAGGACACCGTCTCAGAAGACAATTCCTAATGCAATATGGATCACACAATTAGATAATGGCCCTGTTTAGTAATTAACAATTAGCTGATTGGTAAGAGTTGATTGCATTAGCTATTTTGACTACCTGATTGGTAAGAGCTTATTATGTAGAGTTATTTGGTAAAATTTGATTCTTAGTTGTACACATGAAATGACAATATAGGACATTAGCACGCAATTCATTTTTACTTCACTAAGGTAAGAAGTGGGAGGGAAAAAATGTAAATTAGAGTAACTTTTTAGGATGAAATTGTCATTTGACATCCATTCTCAACAAGCTAATAAAAAAAACTCTATTTTTTAGCTTTTCACAAATTAGTTGTGCCTCAATCAGCTCATTTAAAAAGCTCTTTAACCAAACAACCAAATTAAATGATTTATGCAGCCAAACCTCTAATTTGGTCAAATAAGCTTTTTTTTTGTCAAAACTCTAATTACCAAACCTGGCCAATAAGATCTGCCCAATCATTTGAGCAAATAAGGACTATTGATTTGATATGCAAAACATAATTCATGATCACCATTAGAAAGGTTAATAAGAGAACAAGATTGCAAAAAACCCTGTTACAATGACACTGCTTCTTGACCACTTCACCTTTTTAGTTGTCCTTCGGTTCATCAATGTTTGTCTTGAATAAGAAATCTTCACCTTCCAATTCATCTTGATACAAGCAGATTGATGGAAGGTTTAGCCTTTCACAAGGTTGATAACTATTCAATGATCTTGTGCCCTGTGGTTTGCAGCATAGAAACTTAAAACTTAATTCACTTGCACTAAGAAATTTAGCATAATAACAAAGCTGCCGTAATTAGGGGTGTTCATATCCGGGTACCCGAATCTTCGGGTAGTTGATAAGTCGGCCCGTGTCCCATCCTGGATAATTCGGGTACCCGGTATTCGGGTACCCGAATTATTCGGGACGGGACACGGGTACCCGAATTTTATTTACTTTTTTTTAAGATAAGTTTGTACCTAAAACCTGCTGTATTTTTGTACAAAAAATCTGCTATATATACAATAATAAACCTATTGTTTTTTTTTGCTGTAATTTTTTTTTTTTAAATCTGCTGTTGTTTTTTTTTTTTAAAAAAAAACCTTATAGTTTTTATAGTCTCTTAAATCTCATTTTCTCGGATTTATGCAAGCTGTGGTTGGATCAGTGTTGTGTTCTATATCTATAAAAGCCATAAGTTGTGCCAGACCTATGAGTCTATGGCTGCTATGTGCTGCGTGCTGCAGCTGTTGTAGCATTTATTTCTGTATTTACCCTTCCTACAGTGTTCCAGTTAGGCCCGAAGTATTGATTGGTTGATTCCGTACAATTAATTATGAATGTTTTCTGAAATGGTGAGGAGAAGAATTGACCAATTTGTTATTGTTAGCTAAGGGTTTACTAGTAACTTGAGATAATGATGTGAAACTATTGTATAATGCGGATGCTTATGCTGTTGAACAAGAGTCTCTTAGAATTTGGAAGACTAAATATTTGCTTAAAAATTAAAAAAAAGGGTGATAAAAATGCTTTGATAAACACATGTTCGGCTTTTGCAAGTTAGAGGAGATGTAGAGGCGTAGAGCAGTAGGAAATTACTGAATTAGGGAGAGAGAAGAAGAAGAGCTTCGTGTTTTTTCTTTTAGGGAGTTATTGGATGTTTACCCTAGGTTAAGTAAGTGGGCTGGCTGGAACTGGCAGTGTTAATTTTATTTTTTTTTAAACGGGTATCCGGGTACCCGATAACATGTCCCGGCCCATGAAAGTGCTATTTTACCGGGACGGGTACCCGACCCGAAAAAAACAGAAAATTTTGAAAATTTCCCGTCGGGTATTTTGCGGGTCATCGGGAATTCGGGACGGGACAACCGGGTCGGGTTTTTTTAAACACCCCTAGCCGTAATTATGCATGATCAAATTTTAAGAATCATTTTCGAAAGGATGCAGTCTCATGGGTTTTTAAATTGCATATTGGAAAGAAAAGATAGCATCCTTTGGCCTAATTATTGTAAGTTTAAGTGAAGCATAGTAGCATACATCCAATAATATGAATGACATGCACCGGTAAGGTGATATACACTCCATACAGGTTTCTATGACACTCAAATTAAGTCCTCTTGTCTACTACTCTCCTCATATTCTAGTTACAAGTGTTTTATAAGTTCAATATCACTTTGACTCTCCATTTCACCTCAAGTGCTCAAATTAGAAACTCAACAACAAACATGAGTAAGTTCATTTTGGACTAAAATATATGCAAAGTTTTCATGATGGTTGGGTTGTACACTTGGCACTGTATCCATAAATCTGAGTAACATAACAAGTGATATATTCCAAGAGCTTATACAAGATAACCTTAGTTTTTAACAAATTGTTTCTTCAAGTGTTATAACTTATAATAGACTCAAAATGCGGGTTATAGGAATATGTAACAATTTCCTTTCAATAAATGAATGTTGGTTATGTTCTCACACTTAAAACCCTACCTAGTTCATAAAACATAAAAAAATAATCTAAGCTTCTTTAGAGTGTAGAAGAAATAATGGAATCCATCACCAAAAGTGCTCCACTTCATTGACCATGTAAAATCAGGAGCTTCAAATAATGGATGCCTAAGTGTGGCTGCAACAAAAAGTTAAGAAATAAAGAGGAGAAAAATCCATGCTAGAGCTTATATGATTCAGTGAACCAAAGTTTGAATGTACTACATGCCCAAATGAAATTGATATGTAGATACCATTTGGTTTCAATACCCGGTGGATGCCTTGGAGCATTGCCATGACCTTGCTAATGGTTTCAGATTTTGGGTTCCACGGATCACCACTGTCCACGAACAATACATCCTTGAATGACAAGTATATCCAAACTTGGCAAATTAAAAGCCAATTTGCACTTACAAAAGAAATATTTAAGGCTAAGCTACTAATATTGTTCTCACCATTATTCCTCTCTTAATAACAACATCAAAAGAATCATCTGCGAATGGAAAGTCTAGCATGTCCGCAACCATGGCCTTTATATCTGACATTCAAGGTAGCACAAATCATCCAAAGTTAAGATAAAGGGGGCAACAAAGTGCAACAATCAGTACTGCTAAACCAAAATACATTCAAAATCAGTCAAGACAAACAGCTTGAGAATCATACTTTCCACAAGTGATTAAACCTCAAATCTTCTCTAAATTCATATTGAATTTTAATGAAAGGGCAACAATTAGCAACAACAACACATTGAATAAGCACAAAATGATGTACACCTTAAAAATATCCGAGCATGTCCGTGGATATTTTTAATCCCATTTTTATACATTTCATCACTTAATTGGGAATTTCCACAACCCAATTCCAAAACCTAAAAATTGAACAAACAAATTCATATCAAGCCCAGAAAATTAACATAAATAAATAAAAAATACTTCCGTATTAACATTCTACAAAAAAAAATGAAACAGAGAAAATACAGAGGAATTAGGTTGAATATTCTCCAAAATTAGGTGACGAAAATAGGAATAATCTTTGAGCCATTCATAATGTTCTTCCTTAGCAAATCTATCGTCCTAAAAGAAAATTTTAGAAATTAAATTAGATACAATAAATTTGAGCAAATTTTTTTAGAGTGAAATTAAAATTAGAAACAGGGGAGAGAGAACAAACCAGTAAAGTGGATCAAGATAAGTCAAAACGGAAGAGGGTACTACTGTATCTTTGAGATTCTTCTCCTCATAATACATTAATGAGAGATTCTGGGTACCTTTGATTTCAGAATGTTTTCTTAAACCCTAGATTAAGTAAGAGCGACGACAAGGCTTACAGGTCAACAAGTCAAAGTCTTTAATATCGGAAAATTTGTCAAATCGTTGCTTTGTCAGACTAACTTTAGGTTTCTGCTTAGATTTTGGTTTCCCCGTTTTCTCTATCTTTGCCCCGTTATTATTTCCTATGAGCTGGCACCTTGTCCCCACACAACTTCTACCTATTTACAAAGAATGCCATCCTATACACTTCTTCCCCCATAGTTACTATGCACCAATAGTTTTCTATCAATGAAGATCGGTAGGGTCCTGTATGGCAGTGTGGGGGGAGGTGTTTACACCAAACCTTCTTATGGATAATTTTGAATTCTGGAATGTGAGGGGCCTGAATAAGACTGCAAAAATATGTGATGTTCTTTGGTTTCTAAGACATCACAAAATTAGTTTATTTGGGCTCCTTGACACTAAGGTAAAAACTGCTAATTTTGGTACAGTTTTTGCTAAATTTGGTGGAGAATGGTCTGTTACCTCTAATCATTCTCAGTGTAAAGGTGGTAGGGTGTGTGTGATTTGGAGACCTTCAGTGTTCTGTGTTGATATAGAGGTTGTTGATAGTCAATTTATACATCTGAGTGTGAATCATAAACCTTCTGGTAAACAATTTTGGTATACAGTGGTGTATGGTTACAATGAGAGCAGTAGGAGAGAGTGGTTATGGTCCCAATTGGTAAAACTTAGTACTACAGTGAAAGGTGCCTGGATTGTAGGTGGGGACTTTAATAGTGTTCTCAACCTAAATGATAGAATTGGTTATGAGATTTCTCTTACCGAAGTTGAGAGTTTCAGATTGTGTCTAAGACAAAGTAACTTGAGAGACCTTAAAAGTGGAGGACAGGTTTACACATGGAATAGTAAGCAGGAAGGAGCTTCTAGGGTCTGTTCCAAGATTGATAGGGCTCTTGGCAATGATAAATGGCTTACAGATTTCCAGACTTGTAGGATTGATTTTCTTCCTGAGGGATTAATGGATCACAACCCTTGTGTGATCAATTTCCTTGAGAACGCTGGTAGTGGTAGAAAGCCCTTCAAGTTCTTTAATGTTTGGACTGAATGTGCTGGGTTTTCAAAGGTTGTGAGGGATTCTTGGCAGCAACCTAAACAAGGAACAATTATGTTTAGAGTAATTTAGAAACTGAAAGAGGTGGAAAAGGAGCTTAAAACCTTAAACTATCAGTTGACTTCAACAGTTGAGGATGATGATGCGAAGGCTGCTGTGCTACTATCAGAGATTCAAGCCAAACTTAATGCTGATCCTTGTAATGAAGCACTGATTTCTCAGGAGAGTGAAGCTAGGAAACATTTTAACTCTGTTCATTCAAAGAAACTCAAATTTCTGAAACAAAAGGCTAAGGTTATGTGGATAAAAGAGGGGGATATGAACACTGCTTTTTTCCATGATTGCATAAGAAAGAGGAGGATTCAAAATAGCATACACAGTATACAAAAGGATTCTGGTGAGATCATTCATGATCCCAGTGCTATTGCTGATTCTTTTGTTGATTTCTATGTAGGCATGCTAGGCGCTTATTCTGTCCCTGAGAGATCAATTCATATGAGTGTGATTAATGAAAGGCATGTTCTTGATATGGACCAGAAAGCTCAGCTCTGTAGGATTTTTTATAGGGAGGATGTGAGGAGAACCCTATGGAGCATAGATGATGATAAAGCCCCAGGGCCTAATGGGTTCTCTAGCAGATTTTTTTAAGCTGCATGGTCTACTGTGGGCGATGATGTGTGTACTACTGTGCTGGATTTCATCGCTACTGGTAGAATGCTAAAGCAAGTGAATGCTACTCTCATTACTTTGGTTCCTAAGATAGAGAATGCTTCTAGAGTGGGTCAATTTCGACCAATTGCTTGCTGCAATGTCCTGTACAAGATTATTTCCAAGATGTTGTATGACAGATTCAAAGAAGTGTTGCTTGGCTTGATTGATGAGGTTCAGGGGGATTTTTCTAGTGGAAGGTCAATTCTAGACAACATCCTTGTTTATCAAGACATTTTAAAAGACTATAATAACAAGAGAAAGGCTCCTAGATGCACTATGAAGATTGATCTCAGGAAAGCATATGATTCTATTCATTGGGAATTCATTTAGAGTATGCTTGAAGGGCTTGGTTTTCCTACTAAATTCATACAGTGGGTTATGTGTTGTGTGAGTACTCCTTCTTTCTCCATTATCTTAAATGGTGGGCTCCATAAGTTCTTTAAAGGGAAGAGGGGAATCAGACAAGGAGACCCCATGTCTCCCCTCATGTGTTCTGATAGTAATGGAATACCTTACTAGACTGCTGAGAAAGATTGGTAAGCTAAGGGATTTCAAATTTCACTTAGATGCAGAAGTATTGGACTGAACCACCTAGTTTATGCTGATGATTTAATGTTGTTCTGTTATGGAGATAGAAAGTTAGTAGATCTTCTAATGAGGGGTCTTAGGACCTTTGATAAATGCTCAAGGATCAAGGCTAACCTAGATAAGTCAGCACTGTATTTTGGTAATGTTCCTGTTGATGTTCAAGCCTAGATTCTTGAGGTTTCTGGTTTTACAATTGGGCAGACTCCTTTCAAGTACTTGGGAATTCCTCTCAATGCTAGATATTTTAAGATTAATGATTTTAACAGTTTGATTGACAAAATTCTAGCCAAAATTCTTGCTGGTCAAGCAGGCACTTGTCTTATTCTGCTAGAGCTGTGCTTATCAATTCTGTTTTTCTCAGCATGCACACTTACTGGGCTCAATGCCTGTTATTACCTACTAGTGTGATAAATAGGATAACTCATCTATGTAGAGCTTACTTATGGGGAGGAGATGCTATTTTAAAGAAGACCCCCCTATAGCCTGGGACTGGATCTGTAAGCCAAGGAAGAATGGTGGTTTGAAGATCAGGAATTGTAGCATTTGGAACACAGCTGCTATGGGTAAGTATGTATGGAAGATTGCAAAATAGGAAGAGTCTTTATGGGTTCGTTGGGTTCATACTGTTTACATTAAGGGTCAGGATTGGTGGAGTTATACACTAAAGAAATCAGGGGGATGGGCTTGGAAGAAACTATGTGCAGTGAAGGATAAATTGATGGCTGGGTTTGAAATGAATGACTGGATGAGCAGTAAGTATAGTATCTCTAAGGTGTATAATTGGCTTCAGGGTGATATGTTAACAATTGATTGGTTTACATGGATTTGGAGCCCTTTTAATGTCCCAAAACATACTTTCATTGCTTGGTTAGCTGTTCTTAACAGGCTGAGAACTAGGAAAGTACTAGCTGCTATTGGCCTGTGTCCTGATCCTATTTGCTTGCTTTGTGGAGAAAATGAAGAAGACAAGGAGCACTTATTCTTTGATTGTACTTACGGCAGGAAGTGTCTTATGATAATCAGCAATTGGTTAGGAATCCAGGATCATTGTTTCTCTATTGATGAAACTTGGAAGAGATGGAAAAATCAGTTCAGTGATTCTATTCAGAGGAAATGTGCATTGGCTACCTTGATTGCTGTCATTTATCACATTTGGTTAGGTAGAAACTTTGCTTTCTGGAATAAAGCTGTCATTCATCCTCTTTTTCTATGTAAAGCTATTCAGCTTGAGATAGTTACTAGAGCTAGGAAGTTTATTAATAGCTCTTGGAATAGGAATCAGTGTAAGTGGCTGTGTCACATTAGCTATAAGTTGACCAGCTAGGCTAGGAGACTCTTTTTTGGTGGTTTGTGTTTGGCCTGTTTAGGCTATTGTAGTTTGGGTGAGGGCTTTCCCTCTTTTGTTTGATAATAAAACCTACTTACTTTCCAAAAAAAAAAGAAGGCATAAGATGATAGATGGAAAACCTTGTATGTATAAGAAGTGGATTTAGGGCGATTTGGGTGGGCGGTAAAGTTCGGTCAGTTGATGGTGGTAGTGACGACGGTTGGGCGGTGGTTCTGGTGGTGATGGCGATGGCGTCTAGACGACGACTATGGTTGCTGGGTAGTAGTAGTTTTTAGGCTGAAGGCTTAGAAAGAAAACTTAGAATCGAGGATTAGGTTAAATTAGTCATTAAGTCTTTAGCTAACTAGAGTTAAGCTTATAACTTCATTAATGCCACCATTGAATAATTATAACTAATTAAAGTTTACCAAGGATGATAAGAATTTTTACAATTTACCACTGATAAAATAAAAAACTATAGTGTTACCAATGAGAATTTCCCCTTAAAAAAATAACGGAGGGAGTATACGTATTTTCTTATTGGTTGACTGAACATCTCATCCATTGACGGGAATTTCGCCCACATTCGATCCCCAATTCTTCTTCACCCCATTACACAATAAAGTAGCTACATTTAACAACTATTTACCATACGCTTTTGCTTATACATCTAATACAAGCAGTTAATCAAACCAATTAATACATTAGTTAGTCAATCTAGTTCATCCTAGCAACTAATTGCCAAACTGGGCCTAATATGCTCAATTTTGATACAATACGATTTTCTTGTACATTCAATATTATTTAAACATTTTGTAACTCAAATGCAATGATACAAAGACAATGTAAACCATGTTCTAATGATAATATATATACTTACCTCTTTTTTTAGTTGACACGTATTCGTTTCTAGGAAGTTTATATTTAATTGACACGTTTTTTTTTTTGGGTATGTTTTATACCTTGCATTAACTAGTCTACACCACTTGCTTTATCATTCTCTCTCACTCTTTCTTCTCTCCATAATATGTATGCCTAAATTGAACGCGTCAACTAAATAGAAACAGAGGAAGTATGTTCATTAGTTTATATGATGACACTCATAGTGCAAATTTTATCAACTAGTTCATATACTAGGAAAATAAAAACCATGTCATTAATTAACCATTTTTTATTTTTTTTTTGTTTTTTTAAAAAAAAAAAAAAACCATGCTGTTGGAGAAATTTTTTTTATTGAAAAATGTACCGAAATAGGTTACATCTTAATAGAAATTGATTTAACCTAATGTAAATGTCTATCATACATAGCACATAACAATATTGTTCCACAAAGAATTAGAGGTGATCAACATCGACCCAGGCTGAAAATAGGGCGTGTTTGGGCAAGTTTAAATGCACATTTTTAGTTAAAAGCATAAACTCGACCCGAAAAATCCGCTACTTTTTAGCAGGTTTGGACACGAGATATAATGGTAAGGCCCACCACAAAGAATGCAACAAGAGGCGTCAATTTAAGCCAATAAATTAGGTCTAGTTTAGATTTGAGTCATGCCTTACACAGTCAGCACTAAATCATTGTACTCCAAAGAAACAAGCCTTTACAACATCACCCCCTAAATCCACAAATTCAGACAAAATTGTTTAGCCCAAGAATTACAACAAACACAGACCAAAAAAAGCCCAAAATCACATAGAAATTTCTTCTTCCGTTCAACCTCTGCAAAACCCTAGTTTATAATCCTCCCCAAATACCCATTTCCCTCAATCGCCTCCTCCCTTTTCACTCTCTCTCTCTCTCCTCCTTCACAGTTCACACCCATCTCACTTTCTCTCTCCTTCCTGCAACAATGCCGCCGAAGCTCGACCCATCCCAAGTAGTCGACGTCTTCGTCCGAGTGACCGGAGGAGAAGTCGGCGCCGCCTCGTCCCTCGCACCGAAGATCGGACCCCTCGGTCTCTCCCCCAAGAAGATCGGAGAAGACATCGCCAAAGAAACCGCCAAAGATTGGAAGGGTCTCCGAGTGACCGTCAAACTTACCGTCCAAAACCGTCAAGCTAAAGTCACCGTCGTACCCTCTGCTGCTGCTCTTGTCATCAAGGCTTTGAAGGAGCCTGAAAGAGACAGGAAGAAGGTCAAGAATATTAAGCATACTGGTAATATTTCTCTTGATGATGTTATTGAGATTGCTAAGATTATGAAGCCCAGATCTATGGCTAAGGAATTGAAGGGTACTGTTAAGGAAATTCTCGGGACTTGTGTTTCTGTTGGTTGTACTGTTGATGGCAAGGATCCTAAGGATTTGCAGCAGGAGATTGCTGATGATGAGGTTGAGATTCCTGAGAATTAATTTATATTATAATGTTAGTTTTAATTGTTTTTTTGGTTGAGAAATTATAATCCCTCTTTGTTATCCCTGATATTATCCATGATGAATGAACCACATTTTGTGGGCTTGTTCTTATGATGATGATGTTTATTTTTGGTTTTGACGTTTGAATTTCTGGAACGGGATTATGGGATTTTTGTTTTAGACATAGTTTATGCTTTATGAATGAGGAAGTCGCTTAGTTTTTCATGCGATTATATATGTTGATTGTTTTCTATGATTAATTATTGGTATGATTGTGCTTGTGTGATTCATTTGATGTGATTATTTTCGAAATGTGGCAATGCTAGGATAATACGATGCAAAGTATTCTTTTTTGTTAGTGTTAGTAATTGGGAAAGGTTTGATTAGTTCATTGATATTGCTGTGCTTGTGTGAGATTGTTGGTTATTAGGTTGTATTTTTGTTCATGCTTCTTGTTGGGTATTGTGTTAATGGGTAATGTGTTAATCTAGTTGCTGCGTGTATTTGCTGTACTCTCGGGTTTCGTTGTATTGGTTATGAAGATTATTAAGTTTGCGGTGTATGTGCTCTGCTCTTCATTTATAAAGAGCTTTTTATTGTGTGTGCAATGGATAAATGCTCAATTATTTAGGGGATTCTTCAAGGTTTTTTGTGTTCTAAGGGATAGGATTTTGTATGTTTAATTCACTTACTTGAGTCTGAAGTCTGAGAGGGGATGCTTTTTAGTGGGTATACTGTCAGTGTATAAATGATGGGAGGGATAGATTAGGTGTTGTGTGATAATATGATGGAAGGGTGGGGAAGACATATTGCTCCTTTGGCTTAGAACAGAATTAGAGATTCCATCCCATTGTTTGTCTTTAATTTCTGAGTCCAAGTTTGCTATTGGGGCTAGATGATGCTGTGGTATTTGGTAATTTTATTAGAGGGTATACCGTCACTGCTGAATTTATTATGGGAGCGATAGAGTGGGGGTTGTGTGATAATATAATGGGAGGATGGGGAAGACATATTGCACCTTTGGCTTAGAACAAATTAGAGTTTCCATCCTTTTTCATTGTTCGTCTTTAATTTCTCTTAGTCCGAGTTTACCATTGGGGTTAGATAATGCTGTGGTATTTAGTAATGTTATCAGAGATTCACCAAAGATGATATTAGAGAGGACAGCATTTACTTTTGTTCTTTTCTAGTGTGCTGATTTGCACTTAAATTGATGGTCTTTTTGGCTATCGTATGTTGTTACCCTTGTTTGGAAGCTTCCAGTGTGTGGAACATTTAGTAAGCTACTATTTAATCTTATTGAAGATTTAATGAGCATCTTAATCGAGTTAAGCCTACTGAACTGCGTTTTCTAAATTTTCCAAGTCTTAGTTTCTTATTTCTGCTTTAAAACTATTGTTATTGATACTAGGTAAGGGGGTTGAAGGATAATTATATGGAATGGTGAGAGAGAGAGAGAGAGAGAGAGAGAGAGAGAGAGAGAGAGAGAGAGAGTTGGTAGGTTGTTATTCTCCTGGAATAGAGCTAGGGATAGGATCATAGAATAATTCTGAAATTTAGGATTAATATACCGAAATCTATCAGTGTCTTTTGAATCAGTCTTGTATTACTTGCCGTTCTGCATGTAAAGGCGTATAATATATGGACAAACTTTCTGATGTAATAAGAGCCAGGGACCTTTGTTGATGCCATTATTTAATTATGTCTTATGGTTTGATTGTTTTTGTAATTTCTTAGTTTAATAGATTTAAGCTTCATCTCTCACTCAAGGTTTAGCTTGGTAGCCTTCGTTATTTTTTTGCTTTTATTTGAATTTGTGTTACCTGCAACATTGAAAATGGTGAAAAACAAGGTTATTAAAACTTTTTTTAAGTGGCCTGTCATCAGCTCTCTCATAATGCAGCTAACCTTAATATACATCCTGCTTGCTGTAGAACATTTTTTCATTGGATCAAATTACAGAGACTAAAGATACTGAGTTACCTGGAATTTTATGCATGAGATGAACTATTTGTTGAACACCATCCAATGAACTCTTTGTAAATATTGATTTGTTCCTGTCTTCTTATTTGCGTCCACCATCCAATGAACTCTGAAGTAACATTTTTGTACAATACATTGTAATATTGTTTTCTTGGTGATTACTGGTCATTTATGTTGTTACTGGTCAATGTTATAGCAGCATGCTTTGTTCCCTGATGTCTGTATTATACATTGCATTATCAGTAGTATTTTGTGGGAATTACATCTACCTGTAAATGATAATGCAAAGGTACCTTTAGAATACAAAGGGGTCTAGGGATTATCTGATGTTGCGCTCCATTTATAATAGTGAATGGCTGTGGGAATAAATTACCTATACATTCTAATTTTCATAGTTTGATTACTTACAAATTTAATCATTTGAGGTAATACAGTCAATATTCTTGATACCAATTGTAGGTTTAACTCTTAAATTTGTTCCTATAATCAACTAGCTAATGACTGAAGAAATGATGTATAAATTTATACTCCGTACTTGTATATAAAAAGTGGATTTAGGAAAATAAAATTCCAATAAAACTCCACATTACGAACTACGAAGTACTTAGATTTGGTGTCTTCTGTCCTTCTCTAGATAGTGTTGTAAGAAATGAGAATGATGAGGCGTCTTGTGATGGTAGTCTCTTTTAACTTCCAAGTGTTGTGATTGCTGTATACACTCATTGATTGAGAAATTTTTGCACTCTTATTTGTACACTACCTACTCTGGTTGTCAAATTGCAAGTGTTGATAACTAAACTCCTATACAAGCAATTCATGTTGCAACACGAGTTGAGTTGTTTAAGGCAAACGTTGACTGGTGATTGATTTGCTCTTGGATAAAGGAGGAGGGTTACAGTTGGCAAGTGATAGCCAATGTAAAACTTTGTCACATCGCTTCATATGAGCCATAATGATTAGGAGTAGTACTAGGATGGGTGACTTCTTGGGAAGTTCTTGTGTTGGTTTATATAGTCGATTACACTTATGAGATTAAGACGTTCAAGCAAGTAAGCATGCATGGCCTGATGTTCAGATTAGGTTCATTACCCCTTCCCCCCTAAATCATCACCCTCTTTTACCTTCTTTCCTCAGGCCCACTCTTATAAATCTATAACCAGTCTCCTGGCCTTTCATTGCTACCAACAAATAAAACCCATGCATAGTCTGACCCACGTGCTATGCCATACCGATGGGCCACCTAATAATTTATATTGGTTTACATATTTAAGGGTAACTTAGTTAAATATAAGCGGGCCGAAACGCGGCCGACTCGTCATACTTATACTGGATTTGTGCCATGTTTTGAAAATGAAGTTTTCGCATGGCCTATGGCCCACCGTCATGCCTCTCGTGTCATACCGGGCTTATGATGGCTCGTGTCTCTTTAGTCCATTTTCGTGTCGTGCCTAACTGGCCCTTGTGCCAGCCTGACCCATTTCGCATCTCTAATTCCCAATGTACATAAAAGAAATGTCAATAGTCAAATTAGAAACATATACTTGTATAAATCTTACAACATTTTTTTTATTAGGTAGTTTTTTACAAACTTTTAGTTTTATTAGGTAGTTTCTCACAAAAGTCCATATAATAATTGAGAGAATATTTATCTCAACGTACAATTTCAATATATATCAACTTCATTTAATTCATAAGGCAAATTAAAATAATAATGGTCAATTTTTTTTTTTTGATGGTCAATATGTGTGTCTATATATACCAAATTATAGTGCAACTACTAACAAAAAGCTGGTAATTTTTTCCCTGGATCGATGCTAAATTATTATTATTATTATTATTATTATTATTATTATTATTATTATAATTATTATTATTATTTTATTTTTATTTATTTTTATTTTTTTATTTACACGCAGATTATGAGAAAGTGAAATCATATAATATTTTAATAGCATGCAATGGATGGTAGTGAATATTGCTTTAATCTTTGAAAAGGCTAATTAATCCTTTGATGCGTATATTTTACTAACAAGTACGACTTTTATTCTATCAACCAAGTCAGTTTAACTAAACTAAATTATATCAATGTGCATAACCAACCCTATGCCTAATATAGTACTCCGTAATATAGAGTATTTACTGCAATTGATTTTGAACTAATCCAACTAAATGAGGGTAACATCCTCTTATACATGCCAATGCTTATTCTTTCCGAGTATATAGGTTTATATATTTTCGACCAAATATATAACAAGCTAGAATCAGTTAGATACGAATCTTTGATTCCATGAGTTTGATGCCAAACCCCACACTTTTGATTTCATTTGTAGCATGCGTAGTGGCGAAGCCAAATATGATGCGGGATGTTAACCGTCACCCTCTAAATAAAGACCTACTTAAATATCCTTTTTCCTTTTCAATTTTCTCTTAATAATAAGGTAATTTATAAACAACTCATCAGGATCATAATATCAATACCTTGTGTTCAAAATCTTGGCTCCACCACTGATTCATACTAATTATTGAATAAAATAAGCCAAAATCCCACCTCATGTAAACATACCTGGACCAATTGAAGCCTATAATGAACGAAACCCCCCATGCACGTGGAAACTCGTTACCAATTGCCTCTTAAAGAGGCTAACTCTTTCAACTGCTTACTACACTACTTCACCAAACAAGAAATAAATGTTCGATTTTAGATTACTCCCATAATATATGTTTATTCAAAATAGATATTTTTGTTTATAGAATTTATTTTTGACCGTTGGCTTGATGAAATATATATTAACGGCTCAAAAATAATAGCGCATATTAAGGTATTAGAGTCCCTTCATTTTGGCTTAGTTAGGGTGACTAGGTGATTATTGATTATGATTGGTGCACCATATTAAGGTAATAGAAGTACAAAAAGTACTTATTAGTACCTTGCTAATTTTAGTGCATGTACTCATATTCTATTACTTTGTAGAATAAGATATATTGTGAGCCACACCACCTTTTAATCAGTTTGTTGCTATTGTGAATTACTACCTTATTTTTTTACCACTACCTATTAGCAGCGGACATTACCAAGTTCCATTTCTGGATCCGTACACTTTTTCCTTTTCTTTAACTAACTACACTCTTGCAAATTACGCCTTAATTAACAATCATTCCGCCCTCATTTTATATATCTAAATTAAATTAACAAACTCTAATGTTAATTTCAAGCAAGACTTTATTCCCAATTTGCAAACCACATATCTTAGGTA